CGAGATAATGGCGGCGCGGCGGGCGGAGCGCGTGGGCGGGCGGGGCCGGGCCTGGCGCTCACTGGGCCGTCCTTTCCTCCCGCAGTCCCCGGCGCCGGCGCCGCAGCCGTTCCCGGTCCCGAAGCCGCTCCCGCTCCCGCAGCCGATCCCGCTACAGCCGCTCCAAGTCGCGGTCCCGCACCCGCTCGCGCTCGCGCTCCACCTCCAAGTCCCGATCGGCGCGCAGGTCCAAGTCCAAGTCCTCGTCGGTGTCCCGGTCCCGCTCGCGTTCCCGGTCCAGGTCGAGGTCCCGGAGTCCGCCCCCCGTGTCGAAGAGGGAGTCCAAGTCCAGGTCGCGCTCCAAGAGCCCCCCGAAGTCTCCGGAAGAGGAAGGAGCCGTGTCGTCCTAAGAGCATGGTAATGTCCGCGCGGGCGGCGCGCAGCGCACGCGTGGGGCGTGGAGCAGGTGTCCGGAGCCGCGCAGCGCGGCTCCCGGTGTGGAGAGGACCGCCCCAAGTCTGGCTTCGGGAGCGGCGAAGAGGGGTCTGCGGAGGATGAGTGTGGCGCTTAGTGATGGTGGCTGTTTCATGCTGTTTGAGACCTATTAATGAAATGACTATTTCTTGCTGTATTTACCCAACGTCTGCATTTTCCCCTTTAAAGCTGCGGTCTCCTGTTTGCTAAAAGAATATTGGCCAGTATTGCAGATTTTAACTGATTTGGCTGATCCTCCAGGGACCAGTTTCTGTGGGCGTGTATTGGAGCAGGTTTGTCTTTAAACGTTAAAGATGCACTATCCTCGTAGAGGAGCGATCGGTGCAACTATTGTTGTGCTGGCCGGGCTTCTTGCACTAGTGGATGTGGCAAACGAATTGCAGTTAAGCAGCAATGGACTTTGGAACCCCAAAAGAAAGTTCACACAGGTATTACGCTGGGTGGGGAAAGGATAGTGTGTCTTTAACTCAAATTGTTTGGTGCTATTTTTTTTTTCAAAGGAAAGGGCCCTGAGTAGCTGAAAAAAACGTTCTCAACTGCCAGGTGTCTCTTTTGAAAGCATCTTAAAGCATAGACTAGTTTTCTGATAGCGAGTTTTTGTTTGAAACAGCCCCGCCCCTTCCCCTCCCCGTTTTTTGTTTTTTTTTTCTTTTTGTTTTTTCTTTTTCCTCCCTTGTCTTTTTTTGCCTTGGTTATTTGGCCAAGAATTCAAATTCAAACTTGTAAGTGCTGATCGATGGTAGTAGCCTCTGGAAACTTCCCAGTTGGGCCTTTAAAAAATGACAACGGCTGGGTGGAACCTTTCTGTAACCTACTTGTTTCACCAGAGCCTTAGTAAGTACATGCCTGAATCTGAAACCATGTGCCCTTTGGTAACTTAATGTGATGGAAGGTAAACTGAGCCCTTCTCTTTTCCAACCTAGATGGATCGACAAGCAGCATAACAGAGGACTTTGGGGAAAAAGGACCACATGCTCAGTCCATCAGTCCATGGAAGAGTCCTTGGAACAAGCAACTGGCTATTGAAAAGGTTATTTTGTAACATTTGTCTAACTTTTTACATGTTTAATCTGCCTCAGGTGGCAAACTTCATTTTATGTGCCATTTTGTTGCTGTTATTCAAATTTCTTGTAATTTAGTGAGGTGAGCGACTTCAGATTTCATTATTGGATTGGATATTTGAGGTAAAATTTCATTTTTGTTTACATAGTGCTGACTTTTTTTGTTTGAAATTAAACAGATTGTTAACCTAATTTGTGGCCTCCTGACTTAATAAGGAAACATGCAGCCATTACACAGCCTAAAGCTGTCCACAGATTGACTCAACATTGCCTTCATTCCTTAAAATTAAAAACCTACAAAAGTTGGTGTAAATTTGTTTATATGTTATTTACCTTCAGATCTAAATGGTAATCTGAACCCAAATTTGTATAAAGACTTTTCAGGTGAAAAGACTTTTTTTTTTTTTTTTTTTAAAGGATTGTTTACCAAACACAATTCTAATCTCTTCTCTTATGTATTTTTGTGCACTAGGCGCAGTTGTGTAGCAGTTGAGTAATGCTGGTTAGCTGTTAAGGTGGCGTGTTGCAGTGCAGAGTGCTTGGCTGTTTCCTGTTTTCTCCTGATTGCTCCTGTGTAAAGATGCCTTGTCGTGCAGAAACAAATGGCTGTCCAGTTTATTAACATGCCTGACAACTGCACTTCCAGTCACCCGGGCCTTGCATATAAATAACGGAGCATACAGTGAGCACATCTAGCTGATGATAAATACATTTTCCCCCCTTTACCACCCAAAAATGGTAAATCTGGTCATCCTCATGTATGAACTTAAAATATGGAAAATGTTAAGGAAGCAAATGGTTTGTAACTTTGTAAGTACTTAAAAACATGGTGTATCTTTTTGCTTATGAATATTCTGTACTATAACCATTGTTTCTGTAGTTTAATTAAAATGTTTTCTTGGTGTTAGCTTTTTGGAGAATGTGTCTCGGTCTTTTTTCCAAAAATTTTACTTGAAATACCTATGCAATTACTATGAAAGACCTATGCAGTTACTGGACTGGCCTTGGGGGATAAAGGTAAAAGTTGAACGCCTGCCTTTCCCACACTAAATAAGGGGCGTGCCAATCTGAAGAGCTGAACACACTGAGCAGCGCTTTCTTAAGGTTTTAAATCCTAATTTTAATGGTGGGGAATCCCAGTCTTTTCTCTAGATGTTTTTATTTTGGGTAGTTACACTGCTGTTGGTGACATCACAGTTTTATGGCCAGCTGGTACCATCTTTAGGCCCACAGCTTTGGATCAAGAAGTGATGAACAATCCTAATGCCATGTTGCACTGTCCCTTGTAGGTAAGATTCAGTGAGTCTCCTCTGCAGAGATGACCAGCATCTCAACAGCGTGTCGTCCAGGAAGGGCAGACTCAGCTATGTCTTCCTTGTCTGCTTCAAAAGACATGAGAGGAATATGGACACACTTCATATTCCACTTGTAGAGCAGACCTTCGAGTGACCAGTCAGCGCTTAAAAGAAATAAGTTTTTAGGGTTGATGCCTTTTGTTTTCCTGAGACATTTAATTGAAAGCTAGTGAATGAAGAGCAGCCAAAATTATCCATACCCACCTTCTAACCTGGTATGTAGACCACAACTGAGCTTTGGGGTTCCTCTGCATCAGAAAGTACACTGTTGCTAGAATGTTCTCAAAGTCTGGAAAAAAAAAAAAACTTTAAATGGACATTTCATAGTGGGCATCTCAAGCCAAGGTCATTAGAGAGCATGTGTTTACCTTCTGGTTCAAAGAACACGTCAGATGCAAGAATGATATCTTGTGCTGGTAAGGAAAGGAGATCTTGAGATATGTGGCCCCACGTCAGCCCTACTACCCGCACGTGGGGCAGGTGGTTCATCTGACAGCTCTGCCAGCAGATATCTAGACAGTGAGGGAGCTCTGAGCTGTCAGACAGTGTGACTTGAGCACCACATTTGGCAGCCAAGATCCCTGGAAGGCTCACTCCAGCTCCAATCTGAAAGAGGACAGCATTTCTAAATAGTCTGAAATTTTAGCATTTTAACACAGTCCAAAATGTATGTGATGATCAAACTTGGGCCAAAGAGTTCACAATGGCAAAAGTTACGGTGGCGTTGACAAGCTGGGGATACACAATGATATTAAAGGGCGTTGCTTCTGTATTAGCATCCCAGTTAGTGGATGTTTGCCACAGCTCAGTCCTGGGAGTATGAACCAGTAGTAAGGCGGTGTCTAAAGTTGTTTACAGCACTGGGGACAGCTAAGTGGCAAGCAACAGGCAGCTGTGGTTCACTGACCGTTAATTACATTTAAAATTGGAGGGATTTGCTGTTGTTTTAAGTGGTCTTGCTATGTGTAGCCCAGCTGGCTTCAAACAGATGACAGGCATCTATCACAAATTAAGGGAATTTCTAGCTGTGCCTTATAAAAAAAGAAAATACATAACTCTGGTTTCTCTTCCACTTTTTATTAAAGATTTCCATGGAGAAGAACAACTCTGAGTCTTAATGTATACATGTTATCTTGCTACTGTGTTGAGATAGTAAACTTTGTCCACTTGTTTTCTGTCAAAAAAAAAAAAAGGGGAAAACACTTGGAAACAGGATAAGGTTCTAGAGGTAAAGGTTCCCATTTTCCAGTTGAGCATGGCCATAGAGACTTCTCAACATCCCAACTTTTTAATTAACTACAATTTTACTGCACCTGGCTGACAAAATTAAGTGGGCCCCATGGGCCAGGCTACAGTGGCTCAACTATTGAGTTTGAGCTCAGCATACAAGTCTATACTTGTAAATAAGAACTGAAGCTAATTTGATTTTTTAAAATCAAAGTTCATTTAGTGTTACATTTTATAATGTAAAATACTGACATTTGATAGTTTAAACAGTATCAAGCTAGAAAAGGCATTCAGACCCAGCAGAGGCAAAGGGGGATGACCACTGCAAAGGTGAAGGTCAACCTGGTCTGCATTCCAGGCAAGCTAGGACTATGCATTCAGATTCATGAACACCAACCCTACCGTCCCCAAGGACAAAAACCTGTTTTAGACTGTGCCACTTGGGGGTCTCATGTCCAGTACCTTTGGAGGCCAGAGGTCATTGTATATCCCAGGCTGGCATCAGAGTTAACAGATCTGCTCCGAGTGCTGGCTAAAGTTCACAGCCACCACACGAAGCTGTTGTCTCCACTTCCGACCATCATGCCAGGCTTTATGCAGTGCTGGGATCAGACCAGGACACCCTGCACGCTAGGCAGGCACTATTCAACCCTCCCACCTTGTCTTTTGAGCTAGGAACTCTAGACTGAACCTGGAGCTCACTGGTTTGGTCAGCTGTGAGCTCTAGGTATCCACTTATCTCCACACTCCCCTCTACACCCCTTTTATGTGGGTGCTGGGGATCCATACTTGGGTCTTCTTGCTTGTACAGTGAGTAATTTACCCATTGAGTCTCCCTGTTCCTCATCACTGCTGGAGAGCTCAGTGTCTAAAAGCATTGGCTGCCCTGGCAGAGGGCCCAGGTTCAGTTTGCAGCACCCAAGTGGTGGCTAGCTATCCATGACTCCAGTTCCAGGGGATCCCATGCCCTCTTCTGACCTCTGCAGGCACTGCACCACACACACGTAGGAAATACGTGCATAAAAATAATTATAAAAAACACTTTTAATATGCCTGTGATTCCAGTTTCAGGAGGTCAGAACTGCCCATGTGCACATAAACTCAAGCAGGTAAAGTTTTTTTTAATGGAAAAATTTCTTAGCTTGGAACTTTCAAGCTGGCCAAACTACCCACTTTAAAAATAACAAAGGCTAATCACTAGCACGAAGTCAAACGTGACTATAACCCAGCATTCTGGAAACTTCAGGGGCCTTGTACCTCTAAGACAGCTTTGCCTCGCAGAGATCTTCTGTGGAACCACAGGTACTGGGCCAGGACTACCGCACAGGGCCAAACATACATTCCATACTGGACATGCAGGACCTGAAAAGAATATTCTTGTGTAAAATACCCTTTTGGAATTCGAATACTGGTATGTATCCAGAACTGGGTGTCAGGCATGGACTGACACCTATTACAAGGACAGTCCTGTTTTCTAGTCCACACCTGTGAGGAAACAAGTATACTGTAAGTTCTTCCTGTGTAGCCCAGGCTGGCCCCAAACCTGCCTCAGCAGTCATTCACATCTTTTCCTTGAGCATTCAAAAAAACTCTTTTGAGACAGTCTCATGTAGCCCAGGCTTGCCTCAAACTTATTTCTTCTTCCATCTGAGTGCTGGGACTACAGGTGTGTGCCACCATGCCTGGATTGAATCCAGGGCTGTGTATGCTGGGTAAGTACTCTACCAACTGAACTATATCCACAGCCCCTCCATAAATATTTAAACCAAAAATGGGACTCTTAACTCCAGTAGATGGTGGTTAGCCTCCATGTGGGTGCTGGGAATCAAACTCGGTACTCTGCAAGAGCAGTCAGTGCTGATGAACCATTGCTCCGGCCCCACATATGGCTACTTTTGAAAACTTAATTTTTACATTTATTTTTGTTGTTGGAGGAAGGAGGTACATGCACACCATGGTGCATCTGTGGGTGTGGAAGTCAGAGGACAACTTGTGAGTCAAGTTCTCCTTCCACCATGTGGAATTCCGTTATAGAACTCAGGTTGTCCAGTGTGGAGGCAAGGCCCTTTACCTGCTGAGCTATCTCACCCTTTTATCTTAGAGACAGCATCTCATGTAACCCTGGTTGGTCTCACTGTGTAGCCTAGGATGACCTTGAGCTTCTGATCCTCCTTGTCTCTACCTGCCAAGTGCTAGGATTGAGCCACCACAGTCAAGTTTTATGGGTGCTAGGGATGGAACCCAGACCTTCACAGATGCTAGACAAGCACTCTACCAACTGAGCCTCATCCCCAGCTCTAGACGCTCAAGCATAACTTGGATGCTCAGGAGAAGCAGTGCAGTCCTAGGGAGACTTCCTCCAAGAGGTGTGTATGGAGCTGAATCCTGAAACGAAGAACCCAGAGAAAGCCTTTGGAAAGAACTAGAACCATGGCAGGGTATGGTTCTCTACCTGTAATCCCAGCACACAGGAGGAAGAGGTCAGAGTAGTTTTGGAAGTTAAAGGGCAACCTAGTCTCCACAGCAAACTGCAGGCCAGGTTCTAGCTGTGTGATGTCATACAACTTCCTCAATGGCAAACACCCTCTCCACAGGGCAAGGCCAAGCGTGATGACACGCGGCAAAAGCAGAGTGGACCCTGGTCTGAGGCCAGCCTGGTATACACACCAAACCCGTTGTTCTACCTAAAGCAGGAAGCGGGGGAACTGAGGGGTCCCTCATCCTTTGCACGTCTCCAAAAAAGGAACGTGTTTCCCTCTGGGTGCCGCCGCACGCACCTGAGGGACGCGGACCTCGAGCACTGCCGGGTCGCCTTGGGGGCCTGGTTTCCCACGGAACCGAAAGCGTTGGGCGCTGGCCATGAGGCCATGCTCGTCCGGAGCGGAGTCGGTGGACCCGTCCGCCGGGGGGGGGGGGGGGGGGGGGGGGCAGTGCCACGTGGTTGTTTTGCTCAGCGGCACCGAGTTGACCTCTCTCAACATAGAGCACAAAAAAGCCGGCGAAGACGGGACCTGGCCGGAAGCGGACGGAGGGGAGGCGACGCGCAGCCGGAAGTGGTGCGTCGGCCCGCAGCGGGGAGGGGCGGGGAGCGGGTACGCGACCTTCCCAACATGGCTCCCAGCGATCGCTAGTGAGGGCGGATCCCGCCAGTGGCGGAGGCCAATGGAGGACCGCGAAATGAGACGGGGCGGGGAGGACGGCCGCCGTTTGCCCAACCCGAAGCGCAAGAGGTAGCTGGGGCGTGAATTTTCTGGAAGGCGACTTTGAAGGCCGCGGGCCGGAGCGAAGGGCTAGTCGGAGAGGGCGCCTTGGTGGTGGCCGGAAGCGAGCGGCGTCGAGGTCGTCGCGGAACCAGCCGGTGACCCCCGCAGGATGAACCACAAGAGCAAGAAGCGCATCCGCGAGGCCAAGCGGAGCGCGCGGCCGGAACTCAAGGATTCGCTCGACTGGACCCGGCACAACTACTACGAGAGCTTCCCGCTGAGCCCCGCGGCGGTGCCGGTGAGCGGGCCGCGGGACCGGGCGGCATCTGCGGGCCGCGGTGCGGCTTCCTGGGCAGGGAACCTCCGACACCTCCCATCCGCGGCTGCCCACCCGAGGTGTCCGCAACCCCGTGTCCTTTACGGGGTAGATGCGGGGGGTTCCCGGGGCCAGGCTGTCAAGGCGAACCCCTCCCTCCCTATCCTCCGGATGGCGACGTGCTCCGTTGCACGTGGGCCTTACCCACACCCCTAGGGTGGTTCATTGCTAATGTGGGTCATTGCTAATGGACCCCGTGGGACCCCCTTACCGGCCCCTGGAGGTATTCCTGCGCTTTAACGGGCCTGGTCTTTTTCTCCATCCCTTAGGATAACGTGGAGCGGGCCGATGCCTTACAGCTGTCGGTGGAAGAATTTGTGGAGCGGTATGAAAGGCCTTACAAGCCCGTGGTACTGCTGAATGCACAAGAGGGCTGGTCTGCGCAGGAGAAATGGACTCTGGAGCGCCTCAAAAGGAAATACCGGAATCAGAAGTTCAAGTGTGGGGAGGACAACGATGGCTACTCGGTGAAGATGAAGATGAAGTACTACATCGAGTACATGGAGAGCACTCGGGACGACAGTCCCCTTTACATCTTTGACAGCAGTTACGGTGAACACCCCAAGAGAAGGAAACTTTTGGAGGACTACAAGGTGCCCAAGTTTTTCACCGATGATCTTTTCCAGTACGCAGGGGAGAAGCGCAGGCCGCCTTATAGGTAAAGTAATCCGCAGCTGAGTGCCTAGAACTGTGTGACAGCATTGGTTAGCCCAGTCTTGTAGGTCTTCCTCTCACCCTGTTCTAACTTGTGGAAGACAGTCACTTGGGCTGGGGGTCCATGGGGACATCTGGATTCCTGAAACTCCCCAGGGGTTTTAAGTGTGAAACTGAAGTTGAATCACTGATTTATAAACAAGGTTTTGTTTTTATTTAGTTTATGTTTTATTTTTGTTTTTTGACACAGGGTTTCCCTATAGCCCCACCTATCCCCAAACTCACTATGTAGACCAGGCTGGTATCAAATCTCACAGAGAGCTTCCTGCCTCTGCCTCCTGAGTGCTGGGATTAAAGGCGTGTGCTTCCACGCCTGGCTTCTTGCTTATTTATTTACTTAGTTTTTTCCTTTTGTTTTATTTTTTTGTCTTTTTGAGACAGGGTCTCCTTGTAGCCCCAGCTGGCCTGGAACTTGCAACGGAGACCAGACTGGCCTTGAACTCACAGAGATCTGCCTGCCTCTGCCTCTGAGGTGCTGGGATTAAAGGCGTGCACCACCACACCTGGCTACATTTTATTTATTTTGTGTGTGGTAGGGATGTGCATGCACCTCAGAAAGCATGTTGAAGTCAGAGGACTCGGTGTCGGTTCTCTCCTTACACCATGTGAGTTCTGAAGATGGAATGCAGGTCCTCAGGCGTGGCTGCAAGCACCTCTACTTGCTGAGCTATCTGTCTGGTCCTATAAACCAAGGTTTACTTGTTAAGACTCAACCTGGTGTGGTGATACTCACCTTTAATCCCAGCACGCTGGAGGCAGAGGCAGTATGAGACTGGTCTACATAGCAAGTTCCAGGCCAACCAGTACTACATAGTAGGACCCTGTTTGAACTCCATCCCACTGCCTCCAAAAACTTAAGATTCAGCCCGGCACTTTGGGATGCAGGAAGGTATCTTCCTGAGTGAGCTCAAGCCAGCCTGTGAGGACCTTTTTGTTAAGTTTTGAGATTGGGTTTCATGGTTTCATGGAGTCCAGGCTGTTTGTTTGTTTTTTTTTTTTTTCCAGTGTGTATGAGTGTATTGACTGCATGTAAGTACATCCGTGTCATGTCTGCAGAGTCAGAAGAGAGCATTGGATTGATTCCCTTGGAACTGGAGTTACAGACGATTAGCAGCCATGTGGGTGCTGGGAATTGAACCTGGGTCCTCTGCAAGAGCAGCTAATGCTCTTAACCACTGAGCCATCTCTCCAGCCCCTAGCCTGCTCTTGAACTCTTGATCCTTCTGCTTCTACCTGCCAAGTATTGAGATTACAGGATTATGCCTCCACTCCCATCTTTGACATCCTATGTTCAAAACAAAACAGGGGGCTGGAGAGATGGCTCAGTGGTTAAGGGCACTTGCTGCTTGTGCAGAAGTCCTGGGTTCTATTCCCAGCACCCACATTGGGTGGTGGACAACCACCTTTAATTCCAGTTTCAGGGGATCTAACGCCCTCTTCTGGCCACCTCAAGTAGTGCACAAATATGCATTTATATTTGTGCAGGTTAAACACTCATAAATAAAAAATAAGTAAACAAAATTCAAAACAACAATGTCCAGCAGTAACTCAGATCAGTAGTTTTTCTTTTGGGATTTTTCCGTGTACAGTTTGCTGAATGCTTCTGTGCAGAATCTGTAGTCTGAAGTAAGAGAGAACATATAGTGTGTGGTGCTCCATAATAGAGACGTTCCTGTTTGTATTGTGCATGTGTTAAATTACCCTTCATGTCTTGGTGTCTCCATTCCATAGGTGGTTTGTGATGGGGCCGCCACGTTCTGGAACTGGGATTCACATTGACCCTCTGGGAACCAGTGCCTGGAATGCCTTAGTTCAGGGCCACAAGCGTTGGTGCCTCTTCCCAACAAGCACTCCCCGAGAGCTCATCAAGGTGACCCGAGAAGAAGGAGGGAACCAGCAGGATGAAGCGATTACCTGGTTTAATGTTATTTATCCCCGGACACAACTTCCTACCTGGCCACCTGAATTCAAACCCCTGGAAATCTTACAAAAACCAGGAGAGACTGTCTTTGTACCAGGTATAGATGAGCTAGAAAGTACTTTTCCCAGCTCCTAGTACTGGCCAAGCATGCCAGGCGAGCACTCACACACGAGCAGCCTCCCCAGTCCTGGGTACATTCCGGCACTGAATTAGGCTATCACTTTGGAGTAGAATCATAGGAGACCAGAAAGTCCCTTGGTCCTTGTCCGGTACATTTATGCTTGCTGAACTGGTAGGAGGTGCTGAATCTCAAGTGCGAGGGAGTGTCTCTGCACAGAGGAGAGCCTTGTGTCTCTGAGTAGTACACCAGTTTCTGCCTGTTTCTGTGTGTCTTGCTAGAGTGTAGCACTGACTGGGTTGAATCAGGAAATGCCAGCCAGAACCACACTTCGATGGATGAAGTTTACAGAGAGTATTTAAGGCCTGGGGGATAGGGTGGGGTGTCATCCTCCTCCTAGAACTTTCTGTCTTTACAGTTTGGGTCACAGTTTTGGCTTACCAGAGGTCAATACACTTGAGGCAGACCACAGTGGCTTAGCTGTGCCATTTAGCAGGAAAGCAGCTGCAAACAGTGGGAAAGGGAAGGGTTGTCTGCAGTCCCCTGGCCAGGAGCAGCGTTTGCCATTCTGTGTCATATGTCTCTAAGCTGTCCCTTATGTATAGGAACCCCCAGTTTCTGGAGTTGGTATCGCACAGTATGGAGAGCTGAACCCTGTTGAATTATTTGTTTGTTGGATTTCAGGAGGCTGGTGGCATGTCGTTCTCAATCTCGACACCACCATTGCCATCACCCAGAACTTTGCCAGCAGTACCAACTTCCCTGTTGTGTGGCACAAGACGGTAAGAGGGAGACCAAAGTTATCGAGGAAGTGGTATAGGTGAGAGACTTTTCTTTTCTTACTTCCGCCTTGTTCCGATGCACCCAAGAGATGAAATAGGACAAGTCCTCCGCCACAGTGCTGAGTTCAGAGGTGTGGGACCACCCAGGGCTCCTAACCCTGTGGTAGCAGAGAGGGCCCAGGTCAGGGCTAGTGGTCAGGGTGTTTGCCGGCCGGCCTCCAGGTGGCAGGGTGAGGCTCTGCATGTCTGATCAAAGGCACACAGAAGAACATGCTCATGGTTGGGGTTGTCTCTTGTTTTGTTTTCTCTTTTCCTTTTTTTCTTTCTTCCTTTTTCTTTTTTTTATTTATTTGTTGTTTTTAAAAACTATAACTAGAAAAAAAGCCTTTGTTGAGGTTTGGCTTTGTTCTTTTTACCCCGGAAGCATCATTCATTTGAACTTACAACCTTCAGTTCTCATGAGGCAACTGCCCTGGAGACTTAGCTCCTCTGTTTATCCACAGAACAGATACAGCACGGGCAGCGGCAGTGCAAGCCACCCCCAGCCACCCCGTGCCACTGTGTCCCAACCCTGACCTGGAGGGACCAGCTCTCGGGGTAAGAGAGGGATTCTGGCTTGGACAGTGCTCTGCCTCCCTGCTGAGGGGCCAGCAAGGGTGGTGGCTCTATCCCCCTGGACTCTTGGGCGTGCGAGGCCCACGTACTCTGCCCTATAGGCCTCGGCATACAGCAGGTCCTTTGTCACTGGTCACAGTGGATGCCAGGTTAGGTTGTGCTGGGGAGGGCTGCTGTTCTTAGAGTCAGCTCAGTGTCTCTTCCAAGTGATTGGGTGGTCTCCTGTGTGACATCTTATTTCTTAGAAGCCTAATTATTTCTGCTCTTTCACATAGAATCTAACCAGACCCCTCCCTTCACTAGGGCCGTGCTGTGAGAAGTTTAAAAAGTCAAAACTATTCAGGGAGAAAAGTGAGAAAAGGAGCTGTTTCTACCTAGGGAATCACCTAAATCTAAGGATCCCCCCCACCAGGCAACATGGCCTCCAGAGTGTGTGGCTGGCTGGCTCACTCATGCAGGTGGTGGTGAAGCATGTGGAGCTAGAGTGTAGTTCTCCTTCAAAAACCACGGGCAGCCGGTGTGGCTTGCTCCCAGCCCAGGTGTGTGTCCTGGAGCCATTCAGCCGAGGTACTAGGCATTTCCAGGTGCCCGTAAGCCAAGCGGGCCTCCAGTTTGATGGGATGTGGCCACCACCTGTCACAGCACTGAGAAGGACACCTCTTGCCCTTCAGGATCTTGAAGCAGGAGCACCCTGAGCTGGCAGTCCTGGCTGACGCCGTTGACCTCCAGGAGTCCACAGGCATCGCCTCTGACAGCTCCAGTGACTCCTCCAGCTCCTCCAGCTCCAGTTCATCTGACTCAGACTCAGAGGTGAGGCCCAACTTGCCTGCCCAGCAGACTAGTCCAGGAGGGGAAGAACAGAAACCATGTTCACCTCCAAGGGCTGCAGGTATCACCCTTCCCACCTTGTGGGGAACGGCACCCATTTTACAGCTTTGCACAAGTGTGAGCTACTAAATACTGCAGAGGTGAGGTGTTCAGGGGTGTTTGGAAGTTTGTGAAGTGGTCTGTGAGCACAGCCAGCACACAGCAGTGACGCGGTTCCAAAGCCCTTGTGAGAAAGTTTCCTTGGTGGTCAAATACAAGCCCAGAAACTCAGCAGGCCCAGTGGCCTGTTAGCCAACAGTAATTCCGGGTGAGAGGTACAAGCTCTGAGCAGACGGAAGTGCTGGCTGTCAGTGTCAGTCTTCCACGTAGGCTTCGGTTGTGTGTGGTGGAGACTCGAAGCTCTATCCCTCACTTGACACACCCATCTCTGTTGGTGAACTGTAATTTCAGAATGAATTATCTTACAGTGGGCTTTGATTTCAGACACAATACTTCCATGAGGGAAACCTATAGGTACTTGGGACCGACCAGAGGAGCTGACAGGTGTTTAGCCTGTGTTGGGAACTGCCCTCCACTGCTTTGCTTCTGGGAGAAAGGGATCCATCCTGCCTCTGAGGGCAAAGGTTGGGGTCATGAAGAAGTGGACGCAGAGCTGGCCAGGGTGGTATGCACCTATTATCCTCACTGCTGAGGATGCTGAGACCAGTATGGGTAGCTTAGTGAGAGTCTGTCTCAAAAGTAAAGACATAAGGGCTGTGTGTGGTAGGGTACACCTTTAATCCCAGCCTGGTCTTCATAGCAAGTTCCAGGCCAGCTGGGGCTACAGGGAGACACTGTCTCAGAAAGACTGAAAAAAATAAAAAAATAAAGACATAAAAAGGTGCTGCAGATGTAGCTCAAGGTAGACTATTTGCCTAGCTTGTGGAAAGCCCTGAGTTTAGTCCCAAGTACTACAGAAAAAATGAAAAAGATGGGCTACATCTGGGTGAAATTCTTTGATGGGTTTTTTTTTTTTTCTTTCTTGTTATTTGTTGTTGAGGGTTTTAAACTTTTTCTTTTTTGGTCTTTTTGCAGCAGGGTCTCCCTATAGCCCCAGCTGACCTGGAACTCACTATGTAGACCAGGTTGGTCCGGAACTCACAGAGATCCGCCTGCCTCTGCCTCCTGAATGCGAGGATTAAAGGCACATGCCACCACGCCTGGCTAAGATTTACTTTAACTTTTTTAAATTAAAATTTTATTTTATGTGTATGAGTGTTAATAAATGCGCCGTGTCCATGCAGTGCCTATGGAGGGCAAATGAGGGTATTGCACCCCCTGGAACTGGAGTTATGGGTGATGATTAGCCACTTGGTGGGTGCTGGGAACTGGCCTTGGGTCCTTTGTGAGAGCTGCAAGTGCTCTTAACCACCGAACCATCTCTGTAGCCCCAGATTCATCTTTTATCTTGTTTATTTAACTTTTGGTCTTTTTGAGACAGGGTCTCCCTGTAGCCCCAGCTGGCCTTGAACTCTTGAACTCACAGAAATCCACCTGCCTTTGCCTGGGATTAAAGGCCTGTGCCACCATGTCTAGCCACTTACTTGTTTTTTTTGAGACAAGGTCTCACTACATAACCCTGACTGGCTTGGAACTCTGAGTAGACCAGGCTGGCCTCAAACTCACAGAGATCCACTTGCCTCCCAAGTGCTGGGATTAAAGGGCTGTGCCACCACAGCTGGCTTTACCTTTGTGTGTAGTAGGATGTCTGTTGTGGGGTAGGTGCACATGAGTGTGAGAGCCCTCAGAGTCCAGAAGAGGACATTGGATCCCCAGAGCTGGAATAGAACATGGTCATGAGCCACTTGCTATGGGTTCTGGGAACCAAGTTTAGATCTCCAGAAGACCAGAAGTGTTCTTAAATGCTGAGATATCTCTCCAGCCCCTAAAAATGTTTCCATTACGTTTGTTTATTGTGGACGTGCACATGCACGTGCATGCTTGCATCTACCACAGCATGTGTATGGGGAGTTGTTTACCCCTTCCACCATGTGAGTCCCAGGGACTGAACTTAGGTCATTGTGCTTGGAGGCAAAAGCCTTCCTTTACCCACCAAACCATCTCCTCAGCCCTGAATTCTTGTTTTTTCCCTCCCTATGTGCAGTGTGAGTCTGGGTCTGAAGGTGATGGGACAGCACATCGTAGGAAGAAGAGGAGGACATGCAGCATGGTGGGAAATGGGGACACCACCTCTCAGGATGACTGCGTGAGCAAAGAGCGCAGCTCCTCCAGGTGACCTCTTGTGGCAGCCGTGTGTAAGAATGCAGTTATGGCAGTGGGCAGGACCCGGGCCTGGGGAGGGCAGCCCAGCGGATCCTGCTGCAGAAAGGGTGGGCTGACACCAGAGAACAAGGGCACGCAGGGTGGGAGGTGGTACCTTTGCTGCGGTCGCCTTTTCTCTATGCTCATTTCTTTCAACAAGGGTATGTGGATGGTGCCAATGGAGCCCTTTACCTACTTAATAAAAATTAACCCATTTTATATCTTGGACACTTTTCCTTCAGATATACCAGAGTCTTCTGTGCCCTCTCCTGTGGGGCATGTATTGTGGGAGGGGTTTCCACTGGTGTGTGCTCTGTTGGGAAGTGGTTAGAGCAGGGAGGGAAAACCTTAGGTAGTTGTCAGGTCTCTGAGGACTGAACAAGGCCTCTTGTCCTAATCGTGTCTTCAAACTTGTCTTTCTCTCTCTCTTTTTAAACAAGATTAAAACAAGATTAGATCTAAGCAACATAAAATTTCAGAACCAAAAAGCATCTGCCAACACTTGCCCCTGTGTAGAGAGTGGCAGGCCCACAGTGAAGGGTGGGGTACGGCCTGTGTGTTCCGGGGTCTGGACCTCCTCCATTGTGCCGGGTGAAATGTTAAGACAGGTTGTGGGGAAGTGGTAAAATTCGGAGTTTGTAGGCCTTTGGCTGTCAAGTGTGACAGCTGAGGTGATGGTCCTGCCACCTTATCTCTGGACAGTTAATGGTCCCTGGGATGCATAATGAGATGCCCAGGACTCTGGTCCTTTCTTGCATCTTTTTTGTATTCTCTCTGGTCTGGCTAGAATTCTTCAGGGAAAGTCCGGTCCCCCCCCCTGCTTGCCTTTACACATCCATGCTTAGATGTGCCCCTTTATCCTTAAGTTGTATCATGAGGTCTGGGGTTTGCCCATTTGTGAGAACAGTTGAGATGGTTTCTCACTATGTAGCCCAGGCTGGCCTTGAACTCATTATCCTCTTGCCTGGGCCTCCTTAGTGCAGGAATTACAGACACGTACCACCAGGCCACGCCTAGCCCTGGTGTTCTGGTTTTAATGTTACTGTCTTGCTTTAGGCCAGCTGTGCCATCTACATGCTGATTACAGGCAGTTGTGCTTTCCTTGGCAGGATTAGGGACACTTGTGGAGGCCGGGCTCATCCCTGAGCAAGTAAAGAGACACCCCGAGGTGGCTCCTTGTGAGCTGTTGGCAGCACCCACCTCAGTTCTCACGTCTTCTGCTCGTACCTTCTCTTCTGTCTTTGACTGTGGATCTTCCCTCTCTGGCCAAAGTTCCTGTCAGATGCTGGTCTTATTGCTCCTTGAGACTAGATTCTCCAGAAGTGTACAAGCTCAGCCAGCTCAGTGACTCAGACTAATGTGATGATGGGTAAGAAGGTTCTGTGCTGTCTCGTTCATACGCATGCTGCTCGACCCCAAGGCTGTAGGGGTGTGTTCATTTCAGCATTTTGCTGTGCTTGTCACCTCCCTGCTGTTGGTAAGGAACTGCTCTGTGTCAAAGCTGAGAGTGGTGAGTGGCTTTGATCTGTGTGACCCACCCCTGTGTAAGAAGCTGCTTCCTGGACTTCACTGCTGGTTCAGAGCTGCATTCAGGTAGTGAGCCAGCTGCCCTGCGCCATCACCTATTCTTGGTACCATCGTAGGGTTCCTCCTCATTCTGCACAATCAGGAAGGCTGTGAAGTCTTGGGGTAGTGTACTTTGGGGGCAGTAGGTGACATGCTGGGGTCTTGGTAGAGGTGTTCCTGGTGTTTGCATCTTGGAACTTGAGTTATAGATAGGACAGGACAGGACCTGATGGGTCTCTTCCTTGTCAAGGGGATGGCTGTGACCAGTGTCCCTGAGCATTAAGGGTGGCTTGTGTTACATATAGGAGAGAATGTCCAGGGTCTGAGGGATCTTCTGAACAGCTCTGGTAGGGTTTGGGGATTGACCAGAAGGTCCCTTTCTTGCCCTCCAGATTCACCTGCTTGCCTTAATATGTCCCTATATCCACGGAAATTTCGATCAGTAGAGGGGGCTTATCCCCAGTCACACTTAACTGCTGTCTGGGGATCATCTGAGAATGCATTGGAACACCCCCAAGACAGGGATGACCAGGGGACTTCAAGGTCCAGCTGTTAGGTTTGTTGTCAGGCTGTGCCCTTACTCTAAGGAGACTGGCTTGAAATCCCGACTGAGCTGTGGCTGGCTGGGCAGAAGAAGCCCTCCTTTTTTGCAAGGACAGCATTCGGAACCCCTCACTACTGGGGGCTGTTCTTCCCTTTAGCAGCAGCTCCCCCTGGTCCAGTAGGTCAAGTCGAACCCTGGATATAAAATCTCTAGTGATATCCAGATGGCTTTATCTTAGTTTCTGTAGCCCCAGCTGTCCTGGAACTCACTATGTAGACCAGGCTGGGCTTGAACTTACAGAGATCCGCCTGCCTCTGCCTGGGATTAAAGGCGTGCGCCACCACGCCCCTCAGCTTTATCATTTTAGAGGCTCTTGCTGTCTTCAGAAAGCCTCTTTCCCAGGATTGTTACTGGGATGTCTCACCCTTTCCAACTGCTCCTCTCCCAACCCGTTTAAAACCAGAAGCAGGGCCGTGAGGGTGGCTCAGTGGGCCAAGGCGCTTGTTGCCAAACCTAAAGACGTGAGTTCTAGCCTCAGAACTCACATGGTAGAAGAGAACCGAAAACTGTCCTCTGATCACATACCCTGGCATGAATGCCCCCGCACAAATAAAGCAAATAAACATAAAAGAATTACTAAGACGGGAAGCAAGCTGAGCAGGGGGTGCGTGCCATTAGTCCAGACACTGACAGCCAGGGTGGGAGGAGCGTTTGAACTCAGGATTCCAACACTAGCCAGGACAACAGAGCAAGACCTTGTCTCAAAAGCAAATGCAGATCTGTAATCCCATTATTTGGGAGGTGTAGGCAGGGGGATCAGGAGCCCAAGGCCAGCCTGGGCTGCATAAGACCTTGTTTCAAATCAACAAAAAGTCAAGTTCAGAAATTGAAATAAAGCAAGAAGCAATCAAGGAAGACCGCTCATTACCACCCAGGGGCCTGGTGAGGCACCTTGCCAGGTGGCCCCCCCACCTGCTAGAGGAACCTCCAGGTTGCTAAACTCTGTCAAGAAAGAGACCTGGCCACCCACCGGCCAGTGTCTCTTCTGAAAGCAGCTGAACAGTGCAGACTGCACGTTGTTGCCACCCCACAGATAACTGCATGGTATATTCTAGCCAGGCCAGGTGTTCAGCACCACTGTCCCTGCTTACTAGAGGTCCTTGCAGACACAGCAGCGCTCCATTGGGGCAGCAGGACAGAGACAAGGGGAGGGGCCGTGGCCAAGGTGTAGAGTGGTGCCCGGTGGTCAGTCAAGGTGGGAGGTTGGGGCTAAGGGTGCCCACCCCATTACTGTTCCCTCCCACCTGGTACAGTGGGACTAAGGGTGCCCACCCCTGTTCCTGTTACCTCTCACCTGGTGCAGTGGGGATGGTGTCAACAGAGAGGGGAAGGATTCACATTTGCTGTGTGTGCAGCTGCCTGTCCCTATTAATTCAAGCATTGAGCAAAACTCCAGTACCTGTGTCCATCAGGGACAGGCCTGCCCTTGACTGCATGAAGGTCAGTGGGCAGTGGCTGCTGCTGTTCACAAGGAAACTGTTCAGGTAGGAGACTTGAAAGTGCATTTCCACAGCCAAAAATAAGTGCAGTCCTCCCCAGATACACGTTTGTTAGATCTAAGGACATGAGGAACAGCCTGGCAATGTGAATTGGCATATGGTGTCTTTAGAAGTTGAAGGGGCTTGCATTTAGAATTGGAGGCAGTCACTGGTACCAGTGCTTTTTCTACACTTACAGGCCTTGAGCTTCGAGCTTTAGACAAGAGAAGGATGGAACAGAAAAGTACAGCCAATGGAAAGGTGTGATGTAGGAGTTAGGTGTGTGAGGACGCAGCTGTAGGTTCCTTAGCTTGTGTTGTGTAGCTTTTCCAGAGTTCAGGGCGGAGTCTGGCTCCTCCTGACCTGCCCCGCCCTCCCCTTCCTAACCCATGTGTCAAGATGTTACATTGCTGTTACTACATGTTTCTAGCATGAAAGTGGGGTCCCCACCTGGTGGCTCTCAACTTGGTCTCATTGTTAATTCAAGAACTTGAACCACACAGCCCCCAGGAATCTCCCTAGCAGGGATGTACCATAGCTTGCTGACTCCATGGTGGCTAGATGCCACAGAAGAACCAGGCTGTGCCCTGAGTACCCCGGCCTCTTGTAGTTGTCAGAACACCAAGAGGTCTAGGGCCCTGCGTCCCACTCACTGTGAGCTCTGTCACAAAATGCCTGTGGGTCTGCCATTGGGTTGGTGTTTTTTAACTCTTGGATAAAACTTCTTCATAATTTTGAATAAAGCAAGTGGATTTGGAATTGTGGTTTTTGCGATGTTTGTCCTGTGTCTTTTCATTCTTTTTCACGTTAGAGTCATCAGGATGTACTCAGCAGAATAGGACTAACGATGTATTTTATGTTTTGTGTTTCTGGAGACTGACTGGTCTCCAGCTTGGGATCCTCCTGCCTCAGCCCCTAGTACTGGAATTACACCGGCTAAAAATATACCTTTTTTTAAGCTATTTATGTACTTATTTATTAATGGGTTTGTGTCTGTGTGAATGTGTGCCACATGAGTGCAGGTACTCATGGAGGCAGAAGAGGGTGTTGGACCCCCTGGAGCTGGAGTTATAGGCATTTGTGAACCACCTGATATGGGTCCTGGGGACTAAACTGTAGTCTTCTGGAAGAGCAGTTAACTGCTCACTCTTAACCACAGTGTCATCTCCAATCCCTAAAAACACATTTTAAAACATAGGGCGAGAGCAGGGTATGGTGGCTTAAATCTGTAGTCCCAGCATTTGGGATGATCACAAGTTCAAAGCCAGCCTGGGCTATGGAGTGAGACATTCTTGTTAAAAACAGCAAAACCTGAGGATGTAGGTGAGGAATGGGGATGGGTGTTGGGGTCTGCCAGACTGAAGTAAGGCTGGTGCACTTCAGCTGCGTGTTCTATAGGGTCAGGAGCCAGGAAATGGCCACAAACCCTTCTGCCTTTTTCTTCAAACCTTTGATGGGAGGAGCCGCTCCCATCAAAACCCAGTGGAGGGCTGGAGAGATGACTGCAGTTAAGAGCACTGGCTGCTCTTGCAGAGGACCTGGGTTTGGTTCCAAGCACCCACATGGCGGCTAACAACCTTCAGTAGCTCCAGTTCCAGGGATCTGAACCCTCTTCTGGTCTACCTGGGCACTGCATGTACATACTGCACTTAACATGCAGGCAAAACACTCAGACATATAAAATTTTAAATATTTTTTGGGGGGGGGTGGAATCCAACAGCCTCTTCTGACCTCAGGCATTGCATGACATGGGTGCACTTACCTACATGCAGGCAGTACATGCATATACATAAAATAAAAATTAAAAAAATTTTAATCCAGTGGCGTGTTGAATTACGCTGCCCCTGCTGTTGCTGCCCCCCCCCCATCATAACTGGCACTCACAAGAAGCAGTGAAGGCACTTGTGTCTTCTGTTAAGAGAGTTGCTCTGGACCATGGGATGTAGTTCAGTGGTTGGTAGAGTGCTTACCTAGCATGCCTGGTAGCAAGCAAGTACCCTTCCCTAGCACCATAAGACAGCAACAAAGAACCACTGGGCTAGCATCTTGTCTTGTATCCCAAGAGGTCATTCTATGTGTATGAGTGTATTGCCTGCATGTTCGTAAGTGCACCCATGTCGTGCAGTGCCTGCGGAGACCAGAAGGGGGCGTTAGATCCCCTGGAACCAGAGTTACAGATGGTTGTTAGCCACGATGTGATTGCTGAGAACTAAAGCCACGATGTGATTGCTGAGAACTAAATCCATGCCCTCTGCAAGAGCAGCCAGTGCTCTTAACCACACCTCTCCAGCCCCCAAGAGAGGTATTAAATACATCAGAGCTAGAATCCCAAAGGATTTTGTTATGTGAGCTGAGATTGCCTAGGCTAGCCCTGAATTGGACTCAAGTAATCCAGTCTTCCAAATAGCTGGATGCACCACTATCACTAGCCAGGGAACCCTTTACCCATTTTTTTTTTTTTCTTTTTTTGAGACAGGGTCTCCCTGTAGCCCCAGCTACAGGAACTCACTATGTAGACCAGGCTGGCCTTGAACTCACCACCACACCCAGCCCCCTACCCTTTTTTAAATTGTTTTGACCTAGGATCTCATGTAGCCCAATCTGGACTCCAACTCATTGTGTAGCCCAGGCTGGCCTTAAACTGATTTAGCCTCTTCTAAGAGTTGGGATTACAGGTGTCCACTGAAAAAACCCGGGTGGAACTGTGCCTTTTACCATTAGACCTTGTGTTTGGTATGGTTTCTGAGAAATGCCTACCCTGTGTTTATTAATCAGTGGGTTGGGAGTGTTAGGGAAATGTGTTATTGGCTATATTTACAGTGTAAATCAGCTGAGCCTCGGAATGATCTGGAAAAACAAAAACAGCCTTCTTTTCCTTCATTCCACCCACTTATCCTGCACATACTCCACAACACAAAGAATAGAGGGGGAAACACTGTTGACTCCAGGAACCTGCTGTGAATGGGAGACAGGTCCTGAGGAAGGCCTGCTTCTGAGAGGAGAGGTCCTCAGTGACCATTCATGAATGCCAAGCAGCTGTTGGCCGGAGCTGCCAGTAATCCACCTCAGGGCAGATCTTCCTGGTCTTCTGAGGGAATTAGTGTTCCAGTTTCCCTGAGCCTTTCTGGGCTTGCACACATCCCCAGTGACATCTGTATATCCAAAACACTCCAAAATTGGCATTTTTGTCGTCTGTGTGGCTTGTTTTTTATGTATGAGAGTTTTGCCTACACGTAAGTGCATCGTGTGTGTGCAGTGCCCAGGGAGGCCAGAAGAGGAAATTGAATTACCAGGATCTAGAGTTGTTAACTACCGTGTGGGTGCTGCGAACTGAACCTAAGTCCACTGCAAGAGCAGCCGGTGCTCTTCACCACTGAGCCATTTCTCCAGCCCCTGTTTTTTTGAGACGGGGGTCTCACTATGTAGCCCAGGCTTGCCTGGAACTCACAGAGATATGGCTGGCTCAGCCTCCAAAGTTCTGAGATTAAAGAACTTAATCTCATGCACCATGCCTGGCTTTTTTTTTCAGACAGGGTCTCATATAGCCCAGAACTCGCTATGTGGCTGAGGATAGCCTTGAACTCCTGATCCTCCTGTGTGCTGGGATCTGGGATTACAGACCTGCGCCCCAGCATCCCTAAAGTAAATTTATGCACAGGGCTGAGATGAGGCCAACCTGAACGAATCCATCCAGCAAACCCGAGCTCCAGAGCGAAGGGCCAGGGAGGAGTTGGCTTTCCTGGTCTCCTGAGGTCCGTTCTGTCCTGAGGCCTGCAGTCCATCTCCCGGCCACCCCTAGAGGCGAGGAGGCGGGATGCGGGCGTGGCCTGGCTGCGGGACTCCACCCCGGGGCGGGGCTGGGGCGCGGGGCGCGGCGGCCTCCCTCGGGGTCCGGGCGGGAGGGCACTCGGTGGCCCAGCGCGATGGACGTCCCGGCCGGGCTGCTGGCC